GAGTGTTCTATCTTTGTAAATAAATTAATGCCATTATAAAATGGGACTTGCCAGAGAGGGTTTGCTCTCTTGCACTCTCTGCCTTTCTACTATGTGATGCTTTACACTATTTGGTGATACAGCAAGAAAGCCCTCCTAAGACGAAGGCATGTTGATCTTCGACTTTCCAGTTAAGAATTGTGAGAAATAAGTTTCTTTTTTTTAAACAAATTACCCAGCGTCAGGTGTTCTGTCACGTCAGCATAAAACACACTAAGACACAGGCCTGATACCCTTTACAAAATAAACTCAAAATGGATCACAGACCTAAATTTAAAACAAAAATCTATAAAATTCCTAGAAGATTACATAGGAGAAAAATCTAGATGACCTTAGATTTGGTGACGACTTTTAAAATATAATATCAAAGGCACAATATATGAAAGAATAAATTGATAAGTTGGATTTCATTAAAATTAAAAATTTATGCTCTACCAAACACACTATCAAGAGACTAAGAAGACAAGCCACAAACTGGAAGAAAATATTTGCAAAGAACATCTGATAATGCACTGTTACGCAAAATACACAAAGAATGCTTAAAGCTCAACAATAAGAAAAACTAACAACCTAATTTAAAAATGAGCCAAAAACTTTACCAGACACTTTAGCTAGGAAGATATACAAATGGCAAATAGGCATATGAAAATATATTCCATATCATTCATCAGAGAAATCCAAATTGAAACAGTGAGATGCCAAATAGATCAACAGGCAATACATGTCTATTAGAATGGCCAAAATCCAGAACACTAACACCACCAAAAGCTGGTGAGAATGGAGCAGCAGGAACTCTCATTCATTGCTGGTAGGCATGAAAACTGGTATAGCCACTTCTGAAGACAGTTTACCAATTTATTACAAAATTGAAACTACTCTTACCATATGATCCATGAATTGCACTCCTTGGTATTTGCTCAAAAAAATTGCAAATACATTCACCCAAAAACTTATGGCACAGATAATTATAGCAGCTTTATTAATAATTGCCAAAACTTGGAAGCAAGCAAGATGTCCTTCAGTAGGTGACTGGATAAACAAACTGTGGTATATGCAGATAAGAAAACTTTAGTGCTGCAAGGAAAGTAGCTATCAATCGGTGAAAAGGCATGAAAGAAACATTAATGCATATTACTAAGTGAAAGGAACCAATTTGAGAAGGCAATTGTATTAGTTTGTTCTCACACTGCTATAAAAAGCTAGCAGAGAATGGATAACTTGTAAAGAAAAGAGGTTCAATTGACTCACAGTCCCATATGCCATGCAGAAGACATGGCTGGGGAGGCTGGGAGGCCTCAGTAAACTTACAATCATGGCAGAAGGGTGAACGGGAAGCAAGCATGTTTTCACGTGGTGGCAGGAGAGGGAGTGAAGGGGGAAGTGCTGCACACTTCTCAGCAACCAGATCTCATGAGAACTCACTCACTATAATGAGAACAGCAAGGGGGATACCCACCCCATGATCCAATCACCTCCTACCAGATCCCTCTACCAATACTGGGGATTACAATTCAATATGAGATTTGGGCAGGGGACACAGATCCAAACCATATCAAATAATATGCTTGGCTCTGTGTCCCCCACCCAAATCTCATGTTGAGTTGTAATCAACCTTTGGCTCATAATATGGTTTGGCTCTGTGTCTCGCATCCAAATCTCATGTTGAATTGTAATCCCATAATTCCCCTGTGTTGTGGGAGAGACCCAGTGAGAGATAATCGAATCTTGGGGGCGGTTTTCCCCATACTGTTCTCATGTTAGTTAATAAGTCTCACAAGATCTAATGGTTTGATAGGGGAAACCTGTTTCACTTAGTTCTCATTCTGTCTCTTGCTGCCACCACGCGAGACTTGCCTTTCACCTTCCACTGTGATTGGGAGGCCTCACCCCAGCCATGTGGAACTGTAAGTCCAATAAACCTCTTTCTTTTGTAAATTGCCCAGTCTCGGGTATGTCTTTATCAGCAGTGTGAAAATGGAGTAATACATTATTCCACTTCTGGCCCCTCCTGAATCGCATGTCCTTCTTATATTTCAAAAAACCAATTATGCCTTCCCAACAGTCCCCAAAAATCTTAACTCACTCCAGCATTAACTCAAAAGTCCAACTCCAAGGTCTCATGTGAGGCGAGTCCCTTCTGCCTATAAGCCTGTAAAATCAAAAACAAGTTAGTTACTTCCAAGATACAATGGGGTTACAGGCATTGGGTAATGCTCCCATTCCAAAAGGGAGAAATTGGCCCAAACAAAGGGACTATAGGCCCCATGCAAATCCGAATCCCAGCAGGGCAGCTATTTAATCTTAAAGCCCCAAATAATCTTTTTGACTCCATGTCTCATATCCAGGGTATGCTGATGCAAGGGTGTGCTCCTACAGCCTTGAGCACTTCACCCCTGTGGCTCTGCAGGGTACAGCCCCCATGGCTGCTTTCACTGACTGGTGTCAAGTGCCCCTGCCTTTTCCAGGTGCACAGTGCAAGCTTTCGGTGGATTTACTATTCTGGGGTCTGAAAGACAGTGGCTGATATGGTTTGGTTCTGTGTCCACCAAATCCCATCTCAGATTGTAATCTCCATGTGTTGAGGGAGGGACCTGTTGGGAGGTAACTGGCTCATGGGGACAGCTTCTCCCATGCTGTTTTCATGATAGTGAGGGAGTTCTCATGAGATCTGATGGTTTAAAAGTGGCAGTTTTCTCCCTGCACTTTCTCTCCTGCTGCCATTTAAGATGTGCCTTGCTTCCCCTTTGCCTTCCATCATGATTGTAGGTTTCCTGAGGCCCTCTGAACCATGCAGAACTGTGAGTCAATTAAACCTCTTTCCTTTATAAATTATCCAGTCTCAGGTGCTATCTTTATAGCATTGTGAAAATGGACTAATACAGTAACCCTCTTCTCACAGCTCCACTAGGCAGTGCCCCAGTGGGGACTTTCTATGGGGGCTCCAAGCCCACATTTCCCCTCCACACTGCTCTACTAGAGGTTCTCCATGAGGATTCTGCCCCTGCAGCAGACTTCTTCCTGGACATTCAGGCATTTCCATACATCTTCTGAAGCCTAGGCAAAGGCTCCCAAGCCTCAATTACTGTTGTCTGCAAACCTACAGGCCCGATACCATGTAGACGCCACCAAGGCTTGGGGCTTTCACCCTCTGAAGCAATGGCCAGAGCTGTACCTTGTCCTTTTTCAGCCACGACTGGAGCTGGAGCAGCTGGGATGCAAGGCACAATGTCCAGGGTGCAGGCACAGAGCAGTGGGGGCCCTAGGCCTGGCCCATGAATCCATTTTTCCCTCCTAGGCCTTCAGGCTTGTGATGGGAGGGGCTGCTATGAAAGTCTCTGAAACGCCCTGGAGACACTTTCCCCATTGTCTGGGGTATTAAAATTACATTTCTCTTTATATATACAAAGTTTTGCAGCCTTGAATTCCTCCCCAGAAAATGGGTTTTTCTTTTCTACCATATGGTGAGGCTGCAAATATTTTTAACTTTTATGCTCTGCTTCTCTTTTAAATATAAGTTCCAGTTTCAGGTCATTTCTTTCTTCATGCAAATGAGCATAGACTTTTAGAAACAGCCAAGCCATATCTTGAACCTTTGCTGCTTAGACATTGCTTTCACCAGATACCCTAAATTATCTCTCTCAAGTTCAAAATTCCACAGATTTCTACAGCAGGGGCACAATGCCATCAGTCTTTTTGCTAAACGTAGCAGGAGTGACTTTTACTCCAGTTCCAAATAAGTTCCTCATCTCTATCTAAGACCTCCTTATCTCTGTCTAAGACCTCCTCAACCTAGACTTCACTGTCTATATCACTATCAGTATTTTGGTCACAACCATTCAACAAGTCTCTGTGAAGTTCCAAACTTTCCCATATCTTCCTCTTTTTCTGAGCCCTCCAAACTGTTCCAACCTCTGCCCATTACCCAGTTCCAAAGTTGCTTCCACATTTTTAGGTATCTTTATAGCAATACCCCATGCTCAGTACCAATCTTCTGTATTAGTCCATTCTCACACTGCTATAAAAAACTACCTGAGACTCAGTAACATATAAAGAAAAGAGGTTCCGCAGTTCCACAGGCCATCCAGGAGCCATGGCTGGGAGTCCTCAGGAAACTTACAATCACCCAATCATGGAAGGGTGAAGAGGAAGTAAGCACATCTTCACGTGGTGGCAGGAGAGAGTGCAAAGAAGAAAGCACTACACACTTTTAAACAACCGCATCTCATGAGAACTCACTCACTATCACAAGAATAGAATGGGGGAAGTCTGCCCCCAAGATCCAATCACCTCCCTCACCTAACACTGGAGATTACAATTCAACATAAGTTTTGGGTAGGGACACAGAGCCAAACCATATCAGCAACAAACTACATGATTCCATCTATATAACATTTTGAAGAAGGCAAAGCTATGGAGGCAGTGAAAAAAATCAGTGGTTGCCAGGGTTAGGGGAGAGAAAGGGACAAAGAGGTGGAACTCAGAGGGATTTTTGGGCAGAGAAACTACTCTGTATGGTACTATAATATTAGATACATGTCATTATTCACTTGTCTAAACTCATAGAATGTATACCACCATGAATGAACCCTAATCTAAACTGTGGACATTGGATGATAATGATATGTGTGTGTAGGTTCATCAATTGTAACCAAAATGCCACTCTTGTTGGGGATGTTGACAATGGGGGAGGTTATGCATGTGTGGAAGAAGAAAGTATATGGGAAATTTTGTACCATCTTCAATTTTGCTGTGAGCCTAAAACTTCTCTAATAAATAAAGTTTATATAAAATTTTAAAATATTATACAGTAAAAAATAAAAGAAACTAAGTCCTTCCATAATTCTCACTGTTCAATTATAGGATGTTTACTGGTCAGATGACCTGATACTTGAGTAAGTCTTATTAGACATTCATGATGTCTAAAGAAATCCTCTGTTGGGCATTTTGTTTTTAATTCTTAGGTCAGATGTTGCCATTTTGTATAATGATCGCTCTGTCCTTGAGAATCACCATGTGAGTGCAGCTTATCGACTTATGCAAGAAGAAGAAATGAATATCTTGGTAAATTTATCCAAAGATGACTGGAGGTGAGTTTCAGAGAAAACCTAGGGGAAATTTAATTTCAGGAAAGGAATAAATTATGTGATTTAAAGTCAAGAAAAAAGATGAAAGTTGATGCATTCCCCATATTACAAACGTAATTACTGTTGACTGGATGACTCTGAGAAGGATTAGTACTTAGGGACTTTGTTCAGAGCCAGACTCTGTTAAAGGGAGCTGAAGTATTTCCAGGTCAACTCAACATCTGTATGTCTGAATAAGACCACACACAACACAATAAATACTTTTACATACATAATTATACACTCTCTGGAATGGAGCTCTGCTCAATGTTTATCAATATGGGGTATCTTTATAGGGGTGTTACATAAATTCAACATTTTGACATTATATTCATTCTTTCATATATTATTTTTTAAAAGATGTGGAGTTAAGGGTTTTTTAAAAACAAAAAATTAAACATGTGGGAAAAAATTCCAATATACTAAAATGACCCAAGTGCAGAGGAAATCTTACATGTTTCTCCAAAGCATCTGTTTGCTTAAAAAAAATTACATGGTATGTTGATACTTATTGCTATGTAGGGAAATATGAGATGTACCCCTATCCCTCTGTATAACCTTTCTTCTCTTTTTCTTGATCCTTTGGTCATTATCATCTCCTTCAATTGACAATAGGGTTGCTGGACTTCACAAATAAAAGTAAAGGACAATCAATTGAATATGAACTTCAGTAATCATAGAATCTTCTTCGCCTATGTCGCTAATATTCTATGGGACTCACTTATAATAAGAAAAGAAAAAGACCTATATTTATCTTTAACAAAAATCGTACTAAAAGTCATTTAATTGACTAGAAAAGGTTTCCACTTGAATGTAAATATCAAAGCCTTTTGCTTTCATTTTTGTTTTTTAAATCAAGGTAAAAAGAAATATCAAAAAGGAAAGTGACAATAAAAATATTAAAAAACGTAAAAGATAAAAATTAGAGTTTAAAATAAGCCTAAATCTCCTGTGAGTACTTTTTCAAATTTTCAAAGTTTCCTGGTTCTTCAAGGCCATTTCTAGAAATATGGGCTCATTTTTGCAACTCTAGAAAATGCTGTCAGATAGAGGGAAGGTGGAACTTTCTCTTGGAGACACAGTTCAGTCCTTTCATTTTACAGTTGACACTTGAACAACACAGGGGTTAGGGGTACCCCCATTCAGCTAAAAACCCATGTATACCTTTTGACATTTGAAAAACTTAACTACTAATAGCTCACTCTGGATAGGAAGCCTTACCAATAATATAAAAGTTGATAAATACATAATTTGTATGTTATGTGTATTACATACAATATTATTAAAATAAAATAACTAGAGAGAAGAAAATGTTATTAAGAAAATCATAAAGAGGAGAAAATATATTTGCTATTTATTAAGTGGAAGTGGGTCATCAAAAAGGCCTTCATCCTCTGTCTTTATGTTGAGTGGGCTGAAGAGGAGAATGGAAGAGAAGGGACTGGTTTTGCTTCTCAGGTGTGACGGAGGGGGAAAAAATATGTATATAAGTGGTCCCACACAGTTCAAACTTATGCTGTTCAAGGGTTAACTGTATTCTGTAGGAAATAGTAGCCCAAGAGGATTTACAGTCTAGAAATGCCAGGATCTAACTGTGAAAGAATTTTAAAGAGACCACTGTTGGGCTATGTAGCGATTAGATGGTCAAAGGTAGGAACAAGCAGACAAGTTATGAGATATTTCCTAAAGCCTAAGAGATTATTTACATCTAGGGTATTAGTTTATTTTCTTAATCAGTGATTACCATTCCCATAGATAATTTTTATAATATTAATTTTTGTTGTTATTCGAAGAAATAAATCTTTTTTCCTCAAAGTTGACTTTGTTGCTATTTCAGTGCAATTTTATTTCCCATTATGTTTTGTTATTTACCATTCTAACTATTTTATTCTAATAGTTTACTGCTGTAATTGTCTAAGTTTCTGTTTGGTAACTTCAGAGTCATTTTAATTGAATGTTTTTAAAGAATTGTTTTAACAAATAGTGTACATATTATATACATTTTAGAATTTAATAGATTCAACACTTTCTAAAAATCTATAAAATACATATTTGATACTATACCTTTAATAACATTTTACTAAGAATCAAAATATGGATATCTTCTTAAAGACTCATGTTTTCTGTTTACATATCTGTTTATTTCTTAAAGTACTTTTACTAAAAATAAATGCATTAATTTAAAAGTTTTAATAAGAAAATTTTATAAATTAAGTAACATTTTCTTATTTTGCCTAATTTAGTGACATATAATTAGTTGATTATTGATAACATCTGGCATTTACTGATCATTTATATGCAAAGCACAATACATTTATTAGATTCTATTTATTTCCTTAAACTCTAGTCTCATTTTCCTTAGCTAACATAAATGTTTTTATTCAGTTGCTTTTCAAATATGGGTCTTGTCATATTTTCAGAGAAAAAAATGTAATTGAGAATAATTTTATTAATAGCTTCCTTTCCCTTACTACTTGAATAAAAGTAAGCAAGCTATCCAATATCATAAACAGTAAGCAGAGTATTGATTCTCATGGCTTCCATCTAAAAATTCAATAGAAATGTTGAGTGCTCATGATTTTCAGCAAGAACTATCAATATGTAGTTTTTTAAAAAACAAATCATCGAATAGATTATATCATCTTTAAGTAAAATATCTTTGTGCAAGATCATAATTCAAGTTTCCTTCACATTTTTGGTTCAGCTTATCCTACTGGCCACACCACACAATGAAAATGAAATATATTTTCTAGTACAAGTGATATTATTTAACTTATCTGTATAGAGCAAGCAGGGAATTGTGGAACATGCAAGCCTTTGCTGGGGTGCCTTATTTTCTACTAAGTGTGAGGCTTTGTGACATGGTTATTGTATTTACAGTGTCTTGGTTAAAATAGTAATACCAATGGCTCTGTCTATTTTATGTAGGGTCAGATCCCAAAAGCTTAGACAATCACTACTCACTTTAGCATCTTGGTTTCTCTGGGGTTCTTATGATGGGAGCTCGGCACAGTGGAGTGGTCCACGTGTCTGCTTTGGAAGTGGGAACTTTTGGGTTGAATCTTATCTGAGCCACGCATTAGCTGTGTGACTGGGTGATTCAGTCTCCTCTGCTGGGAAATATTAATGCTCCCTCAGGGATTGTTAGGAGGATTAAATGTCTTTATGTACATACAAAGCAACTAGTTTCTGAAGTATTCTAATATCCATATGTATTATGTGAAGACACTTAATCCTTACAGTTCAGTGCCTTGCTGAATAAATATTGAATGAATAGCGCTGGTTTTATTAATAGTAGTAGTTTTGTTTAAAAATGCAAAATGAAGAAGGATCAGAGAGGGTCTTGAAAACTCATGCCCTTTTTATCCCTGTCTCTTTTCTGAGACATCAAACCTTTTAGTTTGGTTGACCATATGGATTTAGAATAGTCTCAGGCCCTACTGGACTACTTTTTTCCCCCCAAAGCATTGAAATACTATATAATATTGTATTTGGAATAGTTTTTCTTTAAAATGGCTAAAGTTCCTTTCAGATTAAAAATAATAATATTTAGGAATTATGACTGCAGAAGAGTTGTGGGAGTGAGAAGGGAAAGCACTAGCTCTTCAGGGAGGTGTGAACATCATTGCCATTCACGCTGCTGGCAACTTCTTAGATCCATGACAGTTAAAAGGTAAAATAATGTCAAACTTGTGTGTGGACTTGCACATTTAAAAGGTAGCATCTTTTGTGTTCATATCCATTAAGAACAATAAAACATGGTGAGTGATTATTTATAGAAATGTTCCAATGAAGGACTGAATGAACCTTTCCTTTTGGTGACTCTACAGGGACCTTCGGAACCTAGTGATTGAAATGGTTTTATCTACAGACATGTCAGGTCACTTCCAGCAAATTAAAAATATAAGAAGCAATTTGCAGCAGCCTGAAGGGTAGGTTTTGTTTGTTTGTTTGTTTGTTTGTCATGTTAAAATTCTAGGGGCTTGGCCTCAGGAAAGACTGTAATTGGTTCCTTTGTTTTGAATAATATAAACATGTCCTTGGTTTGACAGGATTGACAGAGCCAAAACCATGTCCCTGATTCTCCATGCAGCAGACATCAGCCACCCAGCCAAATCCTGGAAGCTGCACTATCGGTGGACCATGGCCCTAATGGAGGAGTTTTTCCTGCAGGTGCCTCTTTCACATTCTGTGCAAATGTTTTTGGAAATAGTGACTGTGCATATTAGTGTACACCTTTTCTGTATGTAATCCAGGGCTTGTGACTTACTATTATCAATTGGCCACCACACATTCTTGGGGGTTTCAACAAAATTTATTAATCTTTCAGAAAAAATGTATTAAGTCTATGTAGTGCGAGACATGTTTTAAAGAGATTCAAATTTTGGATCTCAGATGCTACTCTCAGGAAAGAAAAACAGAAACAGCTAAGAATTGTTATCTGCTGTTAAGACGTAAGTACCACAGCAGAGACAGCAAATAGCTTTCATAATAAAAAGAGTAGATGAGGATGTATAACAGTTCTGCATAAATCTTGTTGGCCAGAATTTTAATGGAGGCCGAGAAATATTGCTTTAGCTGGGTGGACACATGCCTAACTGAAATAGGCAACAATAACAGCAACAAAAATCTAATGTTACGTCAGAAACAAGCCTGGATAAGGACTGTAACTGGTGTTCTCTGCCATAAGTACACATCTTTTCTTTATACACGTGCCTGTTTTGCAACCCCCACAATCCAAGCTGGAGTACTACAATGCAAATGTGATGCTAACCACTAAGAGTTAGCATCAAATTGCACAAATTAAGGGCTCAGTCTTCCACAAGATTGGCTCCACTTAAGATGCCAGCTGTAAGTGGGGCCGTGGGACACCGGCACTTCTGACCAGCCAGTTACAAGTTCAGTGGTTCCCACAACCCTCTCTAGATTCAATAACTTGCTAGAATGACTCACAAAACTTCAAAAGTGCTATCCTTACAATTACAATTTTATTATAAAGAATACAATCCAGGAAGAGCCAAATGAAAAGGCCCATAAGAAAAGGTCTGGGAGGGTCTTGGATGCAGAGCTTCCGTGCTATCTCCAATGGAGTTAGCCAGTGCCACCATCCTGCCTTGTCAATGTTTTCACCAACTAGGAGGTGCTACTGAGCTTTCCTGTCCAGAGTATTTATCAGAGTTTTATTACATATGCATGGTTGATTAAACCACTGGACATGTGATTGAACTCAATCTCCAGCCTCGCTTCCTTCCCAGATATCCCCTGACTAGCTTAAAGTTCCAAATTTCTAATCATGTGGTTGGTTTCTGGTGACCAGGCCCTATCCTGAAACTATCTAGGGGATAGGCCAAGAGTTGCCTCATTAGCATAGACTCTCCTATCACTCAGGAAATTCCACAGGTTTTTGAAGCTCCGTGCCAGGAACTGGGAATGAATATCAGATACATTTTTTTTTGTTTTATTTTATCACAGTCCCATTTAGAGAAGTTCTTTCATTTCTGTATTTTCAGATTATTTCATTTCTCAGTATTGTTCTTTGTTGTGAATGTTTGTTCATTGATTTTATACCTGTTCTGAAGATATAAACACCAAATAGATTACTATGTTTGGATGACTCAGGTTTTTGTCTCCCATTGTTGATGGATATAATGTGTGGTTTTATTTTTACATTGCAATTCATATTCCTAGAGAAAGTTACTGAGTAGCATCTTCTAAATTCAAATATTTTGATCATAAAAATAGTATTGGAAAAATGTTTTAATAATTTACTTTGTGCTAAACAAAATACACTAAGTGTAAAAACCTACCAAATTCTAAAGGTTAACTGCTTATTATGGTCAATTAAAAATTATAACAATATACTCAACCAATCAACTAGAAAATGATAATTGTATAGAGACCTTAGAGATCTTTCCGAATAGCCCTGTGATATTAGAGATGCAAAAACAGAAACATAAAGAGATACAAAGGTTTTTTAGGTTATGAAAACTTTTAAAAATATCTTAAGTTGAATGATTTTGAAAACATAGTATTTGAAAATTGTTGGATGCAACTGAAACAGTGCTTAGGGGAAATTTTATAGCTTTACATACTTATATTAGAAAAAAACAAACGTGTAATAAAGTAACTTATATCTGTTTCACCTTAAGAAGCTAGAAGTTAAGAAAACTGAATCGAAATAAGTTGATGGAAGGATATAATGAATATAAAAGTAAAAAACAGTAAAACAGAACAAAGACAAACAATAACAAAAGTTAATAAAGATAACAGTTGGCTCTCTGAAAAAGTAATGAAATTTACTTGCAGGATCAAAAAGAGAAAAAACTATAAATGAAAGAGAGAATATCATTATAGAGCCTATATTCATCAAAAGGATGAGGAATATTATGCACAATTTATGCCAATTGAAAACTTAGATGAAATTGTCAAAATTTTTAACAGATATAAATTACCAAAACAGACACAAGAAAAAATCATGTAGTCTGAATATTCATATATCTGTTTTCAAAAGTTGAATTTGTACTTTAATTCTTCTTATGAAGAAAACTCCAGGCTTAGATGACTTTAATTCTATTTCTGATTTCAATTCTCAATATTCAATTCAATTGAGAGATGGAGAATTCTCTCAAACATTTCAGGAAGAAATAATGCCAGTTTTATACAAATTCTTTTATGACATAGAGGAAGAGGAAAATTTGACAGCATAATTCTTGACAATACCTGACAAAGACTTTTCAAGTAAAGAAAATTACACATCCACATCTGTCATAAAACTAAAGGGGAAATTTTTTTTAATTTTTAAAGTTTTTAGCAAATCGAATCCAGCAATTTATGAAGAAAGTGCATATCATATCATAATGAGTCAGTTTAATATTTAAAAATTAAGGTAATTCACCATATTAAAGGAAATAAAGGAAAAAATATATTATCAACCCTATAGATGTGCAAAATGCATTTGACAATATTCAACAGACATTAATTATAAAAACTGTTAGTAAACTTGAAGCAGAAGACTTTTCTCAACCTCATAAAAGTTTTATAGCTAATGTGATATTTCATGATGAAATATTGAACATTTTTATTCTAAGATCATTATAGGTACTCTTACCTCTTCTATTCAACATTGCATTTGAAGTTCTAGCCAATGCAGGAAGGTAATGAAAAACAAAGTATAGTTTGAATAAAAATAAATAAAACTTTTTAAAAAATTCTAATACATTCTAATAAAATAAAAATATTTTATCTATTAGTACATTTTAAAATAAATTACTGTAATTATTTATGAACTACAACTTAGGGAATTAATAAGAGAAAAAGAGGAAATTCAATAAATCGATCTATTTTTATTCTTCTATCACTTCTGATATTAGCTAGCATTTCATCTTCAACATATACTGCTTTTGCTGAACTATACTTCAGTATAAGGGATATTTTTAATTATGATTTTACTCTACAGCTTACTATAAATAATACTTTTTTTGTCTTTTTTTTTTGTTATACTTTAAGTTCTAGGGTACATGTGCACAACATGTGGGTTTGTTACATATGTATACAAGTGCCATGTTGCTGTGCTGCATGCATTAACTCGTTATTTATGTAAGGTATATCTCCTAATTCTGTCCTTCTTCCCTCCCCCGACCCCACAACAGGCTCCAGTGTGTGATGTTCCCCTTCCTGTGTCCAAGTGTTCTCATTGTTCAATTCCCACCTATGAGTGAGAACATGAGGTGTTTGGTTTTCTGTCCTTGTGATAGTTTGCTGAGAATGATGGTTTCCTGCTTCATCCATGTCCCTACAAAGGACATGAACTCATCCTTTTTTATGGCTGCAGAGTATTCCATGGTGTATATGTTCCACATTTTCTTAATCCACTCTATCATTGATGGACATTTCTAAGTCTTTGCTGTTGTGAATAGTACCACAATAAAAATACGTGTGCATGTGTCTTTATGGCAGCATGATTTATGATCCTTTGGGTATATGCCCAGTAATGGGATGACTGGGTCAAATGGTATTTCTAGATCTTTGAGGAATCGCCACACTGTCTTCCACAATGGTTGAACTAGTTTACAGCCCATCAGCAGCATAAAAGTATTCCTATTTCTCCACATCCTCTCCAGTACCTGTTGTTTCCTGACTTTTTAATGATCGCCGTTCTAACTGGTGTGAGATGGTATCTCATTATGGTTCTGATTTGCATTTCTCTGATGGCCAGTGATGATGAGCATTTCTTCATGTGTCTGTTGGCTGCATAAATGTGTTCTTTTGAGAAGTGTCTGTTCATATTCTTTGCCAACTTTTTGGTGAGGTTGTTTGATTTTTTCTTGTAAATTTGTTTAAGTTATTTGTAGATTGTGGATTTTAGCCCTTTGTCAGATCAGTAGATTGTAAAAATTTTCTCCCATTCTATAGGTTGCCTATTCACTCTGATGGTAGTTTCTTTTGCTGTGCAGAAGCTGTTTAGTTTAATTAGATCCCATTTGTCAATTTTGGCTTTTGTTGCCATTGCTTTTGGTGTTTTAGTCATGAAGGCTTTGCCCATGCCTATGGCCTGAATGGTATTGCCTAGGTCTTCTTCTAGGGTTTTTATGGTTTTAGGTCTAACATTTAAGTCTTTAATCCATCTTGAATTAATTTTTGTATACGGTGTAAGGAAGGGATCCAGTTTCAGCTTTCTGCATATGGCCAGCCAGTTTTCCCAGAACCATTTATTAAATAGGGAATCCTTTCCCCATTTCTTGTTTTTGTCAGGTTTGTCAAAGATCAGATGGTTGTAGATGTATGGTATTATTTCTGAGGGCTCTATTCTGTTCCGTTAGTTTATATCTCTGTTTTGGTACCAGTACCATGCATTTTGGTTACTGTAGCCTTGTAGTATAGTTTGAAGTTGGGTAGCGTGATGCCTCCAGCTTTGTTCTTTTGGCTTAGGATTGTCTTGGCAATATGGGTTCTTTTTTGATTCCATATGAACTTTAAAGTGGTTTTTTCCAATTCTGTGAAGAAAGTCATTGGTAGCTTGATGGGGATGGCACTGAATCTATAAATAACCTTGGGCAGTATGGCCATTTTCATATTGATTCTTCCTGTCCATGAGCATGGAATGTTCTTCCATTTGTTTGTGTCCTCTTTTATTTCATTGAGCAGTGGTTTGTAGTTCTCCTTGAAGAGGTCCT